GTCTCGTCTCAGAGACCAGTTCTTTGGAGCTCCCTCTGCTAATACATCCTTTGGAGATGAACCTGCCCCCGGTAGGTGAAATGCTTTTGGAAAAACAGAAACAAAATTAGCTCTATTTACCATTAAAAGTATGCATATTGTGTATACATTCTGTCTTCATGAAATTGTTATGTGCAGTACTGATTTCCTTCCTTTACATTCTACTAGCTCCATCTGTCAACCTGGCCTTGTCTCTGTCTGCCCCCGCCGGGACCCTGCAGCAGGCTTTCAGCAACATCAAGCAGGCACAAGTAGAGAACGTTAGCACACTTGACCCGCCTGATACTAAGCAGGACCAAGGCGCTGTGGCTTCCACCATGGCTGCACATAGCCAAAACTCTAACAATATTGTTGCTCCTGTGGAAGCTGCAGCCTCCACCACTAGCACCAGTTTCCCAGCATCTTCTACATCCTCAGTACCTGCCCTGAGTGGGAGGGTTTCACCTCCACCTGTACCCACCCAGGCCCAAACCTCTGCCCCTGTTATTGTCGATCCCATTCTACCTCCCCAGGCTTCCCACGAATCTCCTCCATCCCAGGTCTCATCAGCTTGCAGTATCCCTCCCTTGACGTCCAGCACTTCTCCACCCTCCGGGGCTCACATGAGTGGCGCTGCTGTCACCGTCTCTTCTGTTCCTTCATCTGGCAGCAACGGTAGTACCGTTCCTGCCTCAGAGCAGCAGCCTTTCAGTGTTGCTGTCACATCTTCCCAAGCTAATTCATCCATCCATGCCCCACAACATACACATCAATCCTCACCACCCACCTCCTCCACTAGCCAAAGTCAGGTCCAAGTGCAGTCATTGGAGTCAGAGGCGGCTGATCTGCTGTCGAAGAGCGCCGGCAGAGATGACATCCAAGCTTTAGATAAGAAGCTGCGCTCCCTCTTCAAAGACCAAAGTGCTGCCTCAGCATCAATGGATTCCAGTCAACCCACAGGGACCACTTCACCTACCCCTGGCACTGTTTCTCCTCCACCCGGCCTCGTCATGGTGCCTCCAACCACCCTTCCACTAACTCCTGGGGTACAGGCTGTCCTTGGCTCTACAACGACACCAGGACAAGGTCTAACCCCTTCAGGACATATCCACACCCCACCAACAAAGCCCAGGGCACAGGTAGGTGAAAACTGCATAATTCTGTACTTACAGTATTTCAGCTGTTCTCCTTTCAACCAACCAAGTTAATCGGAATGTTTTGCTTTATAATTAGACATTACCTACTGGTTTTGATCAAGTGGCTACACCCCCCCCTGACTCTGCTCCTCCATTCCCTGGCCCAAATCTGGTGAGTTTTAACTTCTACCTCAAAATCAGTACCACCAAGACTTTTTGTTTATGTACAAATACTACTACAGAATGAGGGTGAGTAAAATGGGTCTGAAAATGCATAGTCATTAATGAACAAAATGTCTTGATTGCACTTGACAGCACTCCTACCAAAAAACATTACTTCTTTTAGTTCAGGCTTTTTTTGACCCTAATAAAGTAGGGGAAAAAAATCTGATCTGACAATGAATAATCAGGCAACTGAGCTTTGTTGAGTATTGAAGTGAAACGCAGACTTGAGGGCTTTTTATATTTAGTTTGTTTTGCTCCACAGACGCATCAGCCTTTAGATAATTTGGATGCACAGCTGAGGAGAGCTCTGAGCCCAGAGACTGTCCAGACAGCTAAAGGAGATCAGCCTCAAGGATCGGGTTTCACAACGGGACGTTTCCAGGTACATATTTTTTTTGAAACCACTTGAAATTGTTCTTAGATGAGCGCCAAGCTACAGACCTTAATCTCCACTCTTGTCTTTTTCTTTTTTAAGGTTTCTGTTGCCACTGATGATGTGTCCAGTGGCTTTCCTGATGGTGCCAGCATTGTTTCTTCTTCCTCTCTCACTCCATCCTCTACCACCTCCTCATCCTCTTCCTCTTCCTCCTCCTCACCCTCGAGTCCAGAAAATACTCTCCACAGATCGTCAGCTTTGTTCAAAGGAGTTTGTGAGACTGATGCCGTAAAAGGAGCTTCATCTGTCCACGTTGGTACCATCAGTCAGTCTACTACTATTGGACGGTTTCATGTGTCTGCGAGCAGCAATGCTGCAGCTGAACCCACTCCAAACAGCAGCTCCAAAATGGGCCGATTTTTAGTTACAGGTGTGCACAAAACATTTACAGCAAATTTGTTTAATTTTGCACTTGCATGAGAAGCCTTTCTCCAAGTGTAGTACACATCTGTATTTTCAACTGATATGATCTCCTCAAGTTGGTGTTCCTGTGGTTTTGTTTCCTTTAGTGACTCCAGCAACAGGCTCCAGTCCATCACATGACTCCAGCAAGCACAACGGACCTTCATCCTCAACATCTGACCAGCAAAATGCGCATGCCAGTTACAGTAGTGATAATGACGACTCTGAGGCAGAAGACGAGGCTTTGCAGAAAGAAATCAGCAATCTGAGAGAAAAGTATGTCTTCTTTTCGTAACCTATCAGTAGAGTATGTTTTTCACAAAGGCCCCATGGTTTGGGATGATGATTTAATTGTCTACATTTAGTAACGAAGGCAAAATACTGCAGGAATAAACACATTGTATCATAAATGAAACAGCAGATTACCATGCTGATGATGAGCTTGTTTTGATAACCATGTGTAAAAAACCATCATATAAAATACAACTCGTATCCCACTATGTATGTATTTGAATGCATGTACTGTATGTATGTGTATATATTAATATGCATAAACATGTATATATGTGTATATATGTGTATATATGTATATATGTATATACAGCTAATATATACATTTATACATATATACATTTATACATATATGTATATGTATATAAAGGAGAGGAAAGTGAACTCCTTGTCATTGTGACATTATGACACACACAACCAAATTTGACCTCTGCATTTAACTCGTCATCAGAGTGAACAGTGGGCAGCTTTGAGCGCCCGGGGAGCAGTGTGTGGGGACGGTGCCATGCTCAGAGCACCTCAGTGGTAACTTGGTAGCTGGTGGACTCGAACCTGAAACCTGAACCACTGCCCCACCACTGTATATGTATATACGTGTGTATACGTATGTGTTTATATATGTATATGTATGTATGTTTATTTGT